TGTAGTCGGTTGTTCCAGTATTGAAACCGTATGAAAAAGATATATTAATTGTAAGCATTGGAGACTTATAGAAAAGTTAAATTCAAAACCTTAGCATATTCATAAAAACCGTATCATTTGATAGAGCATAGCCCAAAGATTGGCTTGCAATTGGATTACTGTTGAAGAAATCATTGAAAGTGAAGCAATTCCTTGAGAATCTTTTAAAGAATGCACGCATTTTAATGAGACGAACTGTGGAACGACCTGAACATATCTGAAAGAATGAGAATTTTTGATGAGGTTTGACTGGATGTAATCGGATACTCTGATTAAAATTATGAGAGGTGGCAAATGGTCAATCCGAAATTCTCAGCAACAGATGATTGAATAAATGATAAGCAGTGGAACTGGAATAAGGCAACAACAAAAATATTTCTCGGAGAGAATGTTCTCTTTCGATCCTATATTACTTCAGTCTTCTTCATTTGAGCCTTGATTCCCAAGAAAGTATATACCAGAAGCGAGAATATCGATATTCAAATGATATTTAAAGAAACTCAGTGATAAAACGACTGAGCTGCATGGTGACTCACTTTTTCGAGAAGTCTTACTCTTCCAGTTGGTGAAGCTACCAAACATCGAGTATAGAGATCTTGATAAAGTGATATAACTTTTTCACAGATATGCCTGAAAGGAGTGAAATCGTTACTTGTAGCAAGGAATAATCGGTCATACGGTTTGATTACTGCCTGATATGAAAACGATAAGAGAGTATTTTGAGAAGTCAGCGCGGCGCTTTTGTAAGCGAGTACGCAGAATTTTGGAAATTTTCGAACAATTTCCGGCCAAAACAGAAATTGGTCACATAAATCACTCACAACAAAAATTACTCACATAAATCAGCAAGAACATTTCAGAAGAATGATTAACACTGTGTGAAATTTGAGTGGATTTAAGTGCAGGTGTAGCGAGAAATGAGGTACGGATATTCGATTCAAATTAATGACAGAGTGTCCGTGGCTCTATGTTCCGATGAAATCCTCCCGATGGATGGCAGATGAATTTCGGAAAAAAAGTGTTGACGAAATGGAATGTGAAAACGAACGAACTGTCATGCTAAGACAGTTGATTTGCATGATCGGTGATGACTTCAAAAAAAAGTTTAAATTGATTTCAAAAAATTGAGAGTACTCTGCATTTCTTGATGTTTGCTTATGATAAATGCAGTAAAGAATCGTTTGCACAGTTAGCGCACGACTATGTTCGTAGAGTGTCAGAAGTCTGCATTCAGAAGGCAACCACGTAAATTTTCATGCTGTATCGGTTTTGTTCCTCTCGCAGACAGACTTCTCGTATATTGTCGTTAGGACTTCTATTGAGCTGATCAAGATCGTTGCAGGTTTACTATAGGCAATCTGCACTAGATCTTATGCTATCCACTCTTACTTTTACGAGAAAATAAACTTTATCTAGCAATGATCGTAAACTAACAGTCTATCATCGTTGGTTTTTTCGAACATAATACGAAACAGCGATGCGTATCTACTTAAATCGTAACGTCCAATATCATCTGTTTGCCGACATATCTGCAATACGCAATATCATTTCTCCAATTGGAATTCCTTATCAAAAGCAGACGCTGCTTTCTAAGCCCATCAATACGTGCTGCTATTGCATTTGGCCATAAAATTCTCAATTCGAGACCCATTCTATAATACTTCTAACTCAAAGTTGTTTTTGTTTTGTTGTTATCGGTTTTGTCCGACAGTTTATGTGAAATTAAAGTAGCACTTTAACTGAATGCCCATCTTGTAAGTGTAAGGTAAGTGAACAATCGAAAACTTTCTAAAAACAAAACTATTGCTTGGCTCTGAATGGTGAATACTAAGAGTTGCAATTATAATCACTCGGTAATTTTTCCTTCAAAACATTCCTTCATAAACAGTAATGAGTTCTACGCTTTGCTCATGAATTGGCCATTCGCAATGTATCAAGCTCCAATGAGCATAATCGAAAATGACCATAATTGAGTGATCATATTACTTGTAGCCATAGTGAAGTGAATAGCTACTTCCCTGAGAGATGCAAACAGCTAAGGTTAACGTTTTGTGATCATTGTTTGTGATCGCAATGAAGAATTCGCTGTTGTCAACTCAAATTCGTAAACTTGGCTTGTTTTTATGAATTTTTTGGATGATACGTCTCTAGATGTCACGTTGTCGGAAGCCAAGAACGCGATGATAGCATAAGTAACAAACCAAAGCGAAGGCAGCCCTGGTGATCTTCAGTTGAAAATCACGATTATACTCAACGCCTCGTCTCCGCCAATTAATCTCTCGGTTAACATCGCAATAACCTAACGACTGCAGAAACCATATCAACTGATTATAGCGTGGCGGTACATAACGTTGGATTTCAAGCCAACACATCACATCGTGACGAAATAAATTATACATCTGAAATTTTTCTTGTTAGCCGTATTCAAATTCTTACTGGCTTTATCAATTTTGCTAGTTTGATAGCAATTGACACATTTGCTGCTACTTCAGTCATTACTTTTTAGTGTTTTGGTTTTTGATGAACTCACTGTTCTAGCATCAGCATTTTTTTGATATTATCTCAGGTACGAAACCAAATCAAGATTATTTCCTCTGTTCACATTTATTTGCTTATTTATGAAAAGACCATGATTGAATTAAAAATGTCCCAAGGAAACGAAATCGTTCAGTAGATTTGATTATGGGCATCACTTTTCATCAAAACTGCCGATTCCGAAAGTGTTTATTCGACAAATTATAACGGGAAATCAACTGTGAACGTAGCAAATACTGAGAAACAAAAGAAAATATCTGAAGGAATATCAACTGAAACGGCAAAACACACCATAGGTACACCTCGTTTCAGCATAACAATATCATGATTTTCGTTCGTGCACAGTGCGGATATTTCGGTGGTGTTATCGAATGGCGATAACCAATGATGATCAAGATTACAGTGGCAACAATATGGCAGATTCATTAGGAACGCACATAATATTGTTAGTACTGTTATCATACTGTAATTGATTGTAATGTTTTTAGAATGGATTATTCATGTCATACTTGAAAAATTATCACACTTTTATGACGATATGACGTTGCGGAGCTGAATACACACACCGTTTGAGTGCAGAAACATCTTTTTTTCATTTCAATTAATTCGAGTTCAAACGAAATTGAACCCCTCAACTAACTATGAGCATACTCTGTGGCTTTAAGTACGCATCACTTCTGCCGAGCTTATAAAATGCTGCTGAATTTTCAAAGTGAAGTTCGATGAGAATTTGATTTGCGATCTGACAGCACGGGCAGAGTTGTAAGAACGCACTGAAGAATGTGAAAACACACTTCGAATGTTTAATCTGCAGAGTGCAGTTGAAATCGACATCGTTCAGCAAATCAAACTCATGCGAGAAATAAATCTTATCATGAAAGTGAAATTGATTAGTATGAAAGTTTGAGGAAATGCGTTAGATTAGCAAAAGGAACTGAAAGTATACGTTGTGCATTTATGATAATTAGAAATTTTCTACTTCCTTTCTGAAAAAAGAATGCCTAGAGGGATGGACTGAAGAAATCTAGCGAACAAATTGAATCTATCAATATCAATAAAATGTCAGCAGATCTGTATTGGTCGAAAATTTGCAGAAAAATTAACTAGAAGACCATTTAAACAAGATGATGATTCTTTGGCAAAGCATATTTTGATACTTTTGATCACT